AGGGGGTACTGCCTATTTGCACCAAAAAGCTCACAACCTTAGCGAAAAAGCTGGGTTTTTTGGGACAATGTTCTCGGAGTATCACATTTTTATTGAGAATTGGGTTTAATTTTTCAAGCGCATTTGAAGAGATTTCATAACATTCTGGTCCCCCTCAGAAATACAAAGGATAAGTCGAAGAAAAAATATTCCTAAACGTTCTTTACATTCACCACTTCTTATCCTTATTTCAAGGAATTAAACCGTATAACTAAATGGTAATGAAGATAGAATTCAGATTCTCCAAGCTCTGATCCCTTTATTGCATCTTATGTATTTGGAGATGTTTAAACATGTAAGTGAATTGATATACAAGTTATTATACAGAACATACCCACATGTCAATATACAAGTTGTTACAGAGAACATACCCACATGTCGTTGACTAATTTCGCTGAAATAGTGATGTTTTGTAGAAATCCCCACCGCGATATAAGCGATACGGTAGGCCAGATGGTTGGTCCTACACCGAATAACTGTCTACTGCTCGCAAGGAGAATAGTGGTGATTAACGATTGCTCCGCTTCTCTCTCTACTCTCTAATGGCACCTCGTGGTCATAATTCTCTCAACGCTATTACTCGGAAGTTCATCGAATGTATAGCTCGTGGCGATGTGGTGAATCTGAACGAAGCAGCAACAACCCTCCACGTCTCCAAGCGCCGACTCTACGATGTCGTCAATGTTCTCGAAGGTATAGGAATTTTAGAGAAATGTGGTATGAATCAGGTACGGTGGAGGGACGAGCTCAGAGATAGAAATCTCTCGTCAGAGCTGCACTCCCAATGTGCGATGTTACAACAAATGGAAACTGACATCGACACAAGAGTCTGTAGGTTGGAATCGGCGCTGAAACGTACTGTAGTGGACATCATGAACAGTCAGTACGCTTATGTACGTCTTCAAGATTTGCGAACATTCCACAAGTTCACGGATAAGACCCTGATAGTTGTGAAGAGTTCTGCTGTACGAGACATCAAGACTTGTGTCAGCCAACCAAAGAACTCTACGCAGAGCCAAGTGAAGTTCGAGACCAGTGGGAATGGAACACTTCAAGGTTTCTTGTCACCTGCTGGTTCATATGTGCACTCAGACTTCGAACAGCATTTGTTTGAATGTGAATGTTCAAACTCGTTCAATGATAGGTACTTTGCGACTACTGTATCCTGACGCTGTGATCAAGGAAGAAGTTTGTGAATCCGTCGATTGGGCGGTGAGCTCTTCAGTACTTTGGGTTTAATATTCTTTTGGCGTGGGTAACACAGTTCCGTTACCTGATAAGTGTTGGAAAATGATGTCGGCGCAGTTCGGCGACGAGGAGGGGCATTTTGCACTTTCATTGCTGTCACTAGTTCTAGTTTACAAGTTTCACTCAGGTCAAACTTGGGAACTCTTTTGAAGCTAGAGCGGGTTCGTCGAGCCATCATGGCACCTGTCAACTCTTGTGAGCTCATTAAATAGCAGTCTAGATGGCTCGACACGTAGATGATAATTAGCATAGGTGCAAAATGCCCCCCACCCCTCCAGTCGACGAACTTCCCTTGTGTCATCCAATTCATTAATGATGCGAGGAATTTTCATGAAGCACGTTAATGACGAAGGAAACCTGTGCTGCCCACTGTTCAGTAACATCATTAACCTGTTATGTGACTTTAAAGACACATGGTACGCTCACACACATTGAGGGTGTATGAGACTATCAGCCCCCAGCTGTCGATGTGTCGTGGTCCCTCCGCAACGAGGGCTAGAACTCAAGAGCAACTGTGCTGCTTCTGCAACAGCCCTCGCAGGCCGCGCATTCCCACAAAACATCAAAATAAAAACGGCCTAAGCGTCCCACTCGTTAGTTTGAAGTATTTCTATAGCATTAGAGCCGGATTCGAGCCGGATCGCAGAAATGCACACGCGATTTTAATTTATTGCGTTTCCTTAGTTTTTTCAATTTTGTTTTATTTACATCTACATTCGTTGTTGTTCATTTCTAGCCTTTGTCATCTTCATCACCTTCTATTCGGACTTTGAAGCATGAGCAATACCTCAAATGTTAGGAAATTGCGTTTTGCTTGTATTGTCATTGTCATGTTGTCCGTTTTTATTGTCATGTTCTGTGGGAATGCGCGGCCTCTGAGGGATATTGCAGAAGCACCACAGTTGCTCTTGAGTTCTAGCCCTCGTCATCATCTTCGGTTCTTATTTTGCAGCACCTAAAATGTTATCCGCATAAATTGCGTTGTACTTGTATTCCAAAGCGCAATTACAGGACTTGGCAAAAAGCCAAGAGAGCTGCACGCGACCGCGCCGCGCGGATGGTGTTAGCATAAACGTGAGGGCGGTGTAGCAAGGAATTACGACTTTCCCACGGCCCCGTACTCTGACCCCGTGCAGTTTTGGGCGGGGGACCACGACACATCGACAGCTGGGGGCTGATAGTCTCATACACCCTCAATGTGTTTGAGCGTACCATGTGTCTTTAACACATTGGCGACAAGGCGCCTTTTCGCGTGTCTGCCGCGTGGGACAAAGCAGTTTTTCCCTATTTTCGAAGAATGCGCATAAATGCTAGGGCGTTTATACGCCAAAAAAATTGAAGAATGGTCAGAATTCATTGCAGAAGCTAGTAAGGCTTCGCTATTCTTGTTTACTTTCAAGATAAACCCTGAAATTTCATGGAATACTCCCGCCTCATTCACGTGGAGCGTGGGAACAAGGTCGCAAAAAAGGAATATTTTCGCGCCAGAGGTGGTAAATTGGATTCGATTCAGATCTGCTATTGTTGAAAGTTACCTTATCACATTAGCTATCTGCATGTGGAGCTTCAGTTCTATATATCCAAGAATTATCTTTTTTTTCCTAGGAAATCACTTTCGTTTGTCTCCTCGGTAAAATACTCTCAATGACACAACTGCACGGTTTACAGCTACTGTATATTCTACAATGCCTTCATGGACAATATGCAGCTGTTGAAAATTCGAAACGTCTTCAAATTGGTTTTTTACCTATGCCGCATCCCAGCAGTTTTTACCTATGCCGCATCCCAGCAGTGGGACGCAATGTCCCACGCGGCAAAAAAAAGATTCGTCCCAGCAGTGGGACGCAATGTCGCCAACGTGTTAATGAGACGTAATCTATCCCTACAGTGGTAGCGTACCTGTGCTACATCACAGCTGTAATTGTCCCCTTACAGAGCGTTGTCTTGTGTTGTGGGTTTTTGTTCATTCTCCTAACTTCAATCGAACGCGAGTGATGTTACACTTGCGATTTCGGCCATATTTTAGACTTTATTTCGCAACAGTACAAGTAAAGAGAGCAAGTAATGAGGGTGACAGAAATGCCTGCTGTAAATGTGCCTATTTAAGAGCGCGTTCAGACTTCGCGATCCGCGATCCGGATCGCGCGATCGCGCGCTACTGTGGGTGAAATTACACCGGGAGGGGGTCATGTTCGTTCATGTTCAACTCAACTCAACAAACAACAACAACAAAGTTCTGGGAAGGGAGTCGTACTGATATCACCATTTCTCACATCACGATGCTGTATCCTGCCTCCAATAGGCAGTTCCAAAAACGATATAAAAGTAAGTTCGACCTTTTTTGATGTCTTTTAGGCCGTGTTCATATTCGCAATACTGACGTTTGCAGAAACCGTCGAAAGGAAAGGTTGTGTATAGACCTGGAGGATGGCAGAACAAACAAAGCAAACACATGTGACAAAAGTAAAGTGAATATCTGGAGGACTGGCAAAATCGGGGGAAGGGAGAGAAACAACATCACCCGCTGTTGAAAGTTCTGCGTGTCTTACTTTTGGAACAAGATGTTCAATACTCCGCTTGAACGTACTCAGATGCAAAATTCAGTATAATAATTAGCATATTGTATATTTAGTACTATTTTACATAGGAAATAATAAATAACTCAAAGATATTTCGAAACGTTCCTTAAAATTAGGAGGGCGTTATGTACACAAAGGAAGAAAGAAGGAAAAGGAAAAAAGAACAGGAACAATAAACATGAACGAACATGACCCCCTCCCGGTGTAATTTCACCCACAGTAGCGCGATCGGATCGCGCGATCACAGCGATCGCGCGATCGCGAAGTCTGAACGCGCTCTAAGGCATGAACTTGGCTATGGAGGCAAGCGGATATGAGACCCGATCCCTAATAATTAGCATATTGTATATTTAGTACTATTTTACATAGGAAATAATAAATAACTCAAAGATATTTCGAAACGTTCCTTAAAATTAGGAGGGCGTTATAGTTGTACACAAAGGAAGAAAGAAGGAAAGGAAAAAAAGAACAGGAACAATAAACATGAACGAACATGACCCCCTCCCGGTGTAATTTCACCCACACGAGTAAGCGGCGATCGCAAATCACGCGATCACAGCGATCGCACGATCCGGATCGCGCGATCGCGAAGTCTGAACGCGCTCTAAGATACGCTCAGATTAGGGAATTTGAGCGTTCACACTCCTAGAAATCGATCGGTCGCAAGGTTTTATGGGAGATAACCTCCAATGCTGATTTTTTTTCTAATTCGATTTAGTGGGAATTTCGTCCCATAGTCTGACTTTCGGAACAGAATACTGCATTCGCTTGGAGTGAAACCACCCAAAGTCGCCTATAGCTCCTATAGGCGAGGTCCAGCGTAGGAACTCGTAGCTCATGAACCAAGCGCTTTACGGTGAGAAAACGTGATACTCCTCTTCCGGGGCCAAAGTATCCCCAAGGACAAGTTTTCATCAAGTTTGAGGTTGGAGGTGCTTGGATGTTGGCGCGGTTTAAAGTGCTTAGATGCTGGGGCCCAGACGCTTTGGTGCGAAGCGAATATGTTATCGGTGTTAATGGGATCAAACTGCCCTGGTGAAAGAATTGCAATCAAGCTACCAGCGGAAAAACACGATCAGAAAGAATTGCTTGAAATTCGAAAAAGGCACATTGAGGAATAAACAGTGTCAGAAAGTGATCCTCGGACCAGATTCGAAGGGCGCCATTCTTTCGTACAGATGGGCGGCTGTGTGCCGTTTACGGAGAACTTATGCCGGAGCTACAGTAACCTCACACCTGGTTCCATTATTCGTTGGGGACGTGCACCTTATTTGAGTTTTGGTGATTATGATTAAAGTGTGACATCTATGAGTATCTTTCAGTCCGACTTCTTTCCTGGTGAGGTATCCTCGTAGGCGTTTCGAGGAAGGAAGCGGTCATCGACTCGAAAGAACCTCTAATTTACACATACGCAATGAAGTACTGCCCATGGTTTTCGCTCAGCTCGCGTAATTCACATAAGCATGAAGGGATCAAACGCATTACGAAGTAAAAAAATAAGGGAAGCAAGTACAATCTTAGTAAACTAATTCTTCCAAGCATAACAGTTGTCCCTCCACAGAGGTCCCCTTTGTTACATAAAATGTAGTAAACCATAGAGTGATGAGTGAGTATACATTCAGTACTCCCAACCCAAGGATGCTCCCACTGTTTCTCCACGCTCCATATTGTTTGGGGAGCGTGGCAAACTCCGATTTATCCAGCCGCACGCTTTCGCCTCTCGCCGAAATCATAAATCTGGCACTCGTCAAATCGCTGGTCCAGGAAGTGAGTCGAGCAGAACGGTAGTAAAAAACCACAGCAACGTTACAGGACATGTTTACCGTTGCCAAGAAGAGATATACCGTTTCCGTGTGTGATGGTGACCAGTCCCCTCGGCAGACTTGCAGGGCTTCTCATTGTTTGGGCCCCTGACTTTCGTAACTCGAAAATTTTCGAGGTTATGTCATTTGCTGTATCATGAAGAGCTCTGACTCTTATGTCCAGGTCTCCTCACAAAAATACAGTCTGCAATCAATCATGGACTATGGCGCAATCGCAGTATGTGCACGTATTATCACATAATCGCTATCTTTTCACATATATTAATAGAATAACACATAGAGTCCGCTGCAGTGGCCTTTTGTCGCTTTGACCTGGTTCAGAATGGCGACGAAGGGGAAGTTATCTAAAAATCTGTATCCCCTGCGCTCAAATATAGACGCATCTTCCACGGAGTCTCTCCTCGTCATTGAATAAAACTGGGCGTAAGGTTACTGTAGCCTCGCAGTGTACGCAATGGCACACAGCCGCATCTGTACGAAAGAATGGCGCCGATTCGAAGACCTACCTCCTCGCGACGA